CACTTTCACAGGATGACCAGAATTTTGGGACGAGGAGTATATTTTGTAACGGAGCGGCTCAAGCTTTAGCAGATCAGGCGGCAAGCCGAGCCGAGCCGAGCCAAGGTCAAGACCTACCCCACCGACCCTGCGTCACGGGCCCACATTGTCATACACGCCACCTAACCCCTAAAGTATCTTTTCCAAGTCAGGTCATATAGATACGAAGAAAAACTACGAAACTACCCTTCCCCACCACCCCTTCTTCCTCCCTCCTCTCACACCCTCGTCGCCGCCAACCACCATCCAACCCATCCACCAACCCCTCCTCCTCCCCTTCGCCGTCGACCCCGCCTATAAATACCCCTCACCCCACCCACCTCCACCTTCAGAGGAGCCCCGCCTACCGCCGCCCTCACGCCTCCTCCCACCTACCTCACCTCGAAGCTGACGTCAGCAATGGCGCTCGCCACCAACTCCGCCGCTGTTTCCGGTGGCGCTGCGGCCGCGGCGTCGTCGGCGCCCCAGCCGCGGCTCGCCGCCACGTTCCTCCCGATGAGGAGGCGAACCGTCTCGGCGGTCCACGCGGCCGACCCGGCGAAGAGCAACGGGCCCGTGCAGGCCGCGGCGAAGGCCTCGTCCCCGTCGACGGTGGCGGCGCCGGAGAAGAAGCCGGTGGGGTTGGGGAAGTGGACGGTGGATAGCTGGAAGGCGAAGAAGGCGCTGCAGCTGCCCGAGTACCCGAGCCAGGAGGAGCTCGACTCCGTGCTCAAGACGATCGAGACGTTCCCGCCCGTGGTGTTCGCCGGGGAGGCGCGCCACCTCGAGGAGCGCCTCGCCGACGCCGCCATGGGCCGCGCCTTCGTCCTCCAGGGCGGCGACTGCGCCGAGAGCTTCAAGGAGTTCAACGCCAACAACATCCGTGACACCTTCCGCATCCTGCTCCAGATGGGCGCCGTCCTCATGTTCGGCGGCCAGATGCCCGTCGTCAAGGTACCCAAAATCCAAACCCCAAAACGAGCTCATCCTTCACGCGATTCGCGAGATCTGATCCCGATCTGCTCCAAATTTTGTGCGCGAGTTTAGGTCGGGAGGATGGCTGGCCAGTTCGCCAAGCCGAGGTCTGATTCGTTCGAGGAGAGGGACGGGGTTAAGCTGCCGAGTTACAGGGGAGACAACATCAATGGCGACACCTTCGACGAGAAGAGCCGCGTGCCGGACCCGCAGCGGATGATCCGCGCGTACGCGCAGTCGGTGGCAACGCTCAACCTGCTCCGCGCCTTCGCCACGGGAGGGTACGCCGCCATGCAGCGCGTCACGCAGTGGAACCTCGATTTCATGGATCACAGCGAACAAGGAGACAGGTGAGAAATTCATTTCTCTCCCCTTTTTTTTCATACGATTTTTTAGCACTTTTTGTTGCGGAAGTTGTTAAAGTCGCTTTCGATTTAAAAGATATCAGTGTTGAATTGCTTCCACATATCTCGTTATCATGATAAGGCTAGAGCTGCTTATAGGTTGCTGGTGATAACACGGTTTCACCCCTTTTGGAATCTGTGTGACCGTGTAAGTAATGGGTGGTGAACATGTTCTTGAAAGTATGAACCCAGTCATCTGCTCTTGAAAATGGTCTGATATTCTAATTTGCAGCTTGAATAAGTAAATGGAAACATTTTAGGTGGTCGCAGCTCGTCAATGTTTAATAAAAATCACGTGGTAGTTCTGATTCCATCAATCAGTAGTTGGTGAGTTGTCCTGTTAGAAGCTTTCACTTTCTGTCCCTTCCTTTCGAGGAAACTGCTAACGGGACATCATTGTCCTTTGCATCCAACTTTCTGAATAATTGTTAGGAAGCTGCCCGTTTTTGCTATTTTCATGGTATGGAATACCATGGAATTGTTGGTTAAAAAGGCATGCAATTATCTGAGGCGTACCCATTTCAGAATACATAATTAACTAAACTACCCGTCCATGAAATTTATCGTCGGTCGTGCTCTAATTTAGCATCTGTAACCTTCTTTGGATTTATAATGTTGACTTATGCAGTGTTAACGTATTTATATTTTCTTCAGACATGCGTCCAATAAAGATTATAAAGAATTTATTGTTAGAATGTTGTTTTGACTTTTTCTGTAAAAGATGGTGTTCCGACAAAATACAAAGTTGCCATCATAATAAGACATTGAAATGCCATTTTGTTGGTGGTATTTGCAAATTGCAAATAAGAGCAGCTCATTGGTATACTGCATAAGTGCTGTTGGTATATTATCGATTTGCCGCTACATATGCAATTGTTTACGTTACAGAATAAAATATGCTTGTAACGACTGAATCGAGAGGTTATCCAATGATTGTCTCTATTTTGTGTATAGGTACCGTGAATTGGCACACCGGGTGGATGAGGCACTTGGCTTCATGACTGCAGCAGGGCTAACAGTCGACCATCCGATAATGACAACAACTGACTTCTGGACATCCCATGAGTGCCTCCTCTTACCATATGAGCAGTCTCTTACACGTGAGGATTCCACCAGTGGCCTCTTCTATGACTGCTCAGCCCACATGCTATGGGTTGGTGAGCGCACTCGCCAGCTCGATGGAGCTCATGTTGAATTTCTCCGTGGTGTTGCCAACCCTCTTGGCATAAAGGTCAGCATTGAGTTTATTTTCATAAAGTTATGTGAAATCCTAATGTTGTTTGCAGTGCCTTGTGGATGTTGACATTTCAAACTGACATTGACCCTGTGTAATGTAGGTGAGTGACAAAATGAACCCCCGTGACTTGGTGAAGCTCATTGAGATTTTGAACCCATCAAACAAGCCTGGAAGGATAACCATAATTACAAGAATGGGGGCAGAGAACATGAGGGTGAAATTGCCTCATCTTATCCGTGCTGTCCGCAACTCTGGACAGATTGTCACATGGATTACTGATCCCATGCATGGAAACACCATCAAGGCTCCATGTGGTCTGAAGACTCGTCCATTCGATTCCATTCTGGTGAGTATTTTTCTGCTACAGCATTCCATATTTGCTAGTATCCTTTCCTAGTATGATGCAACAATCCGGTCAATCTCACATAAGGAATTACCCTCATTCCCCAACTTCGACTGCACAGTTATTTAACAGTACTGAAAATTGAGTGATAACTCGGTATGCTATATGCATAAAGTTCCTGTCTAGTGCATTGGCCATTTGTATCCCAAGTTCCCATCTAGTGCATTAGAGTATCTGTTTATGTCAGTGAGAATGTGACACTTTTGGGCATATGCTATATCAGCAAAAATCCTAGGCGTTTCTAATTCTATGGTATGAGAAGAAAAGTGTACCACTGCTGAAACGGAACTGTAACCTTTGTTAAACTAGCGTCATTTTGGACTATTGGTCAAATAAACATGAACATTGCTGTGTTTCACAGGCTGAAGTACGTGCGTTCTTCGATGTCCATGATCAAGAAGGTAGCCACCCAGGAGGTATCCACCTGGAAATGACTGGGCAGAACGTGACTGAATGCATCGGTGGATCAAGGACCGTCACCTTCGATGACCTGAGCGACCGCTACCACACCCACTGTGACCCAAGGCTGAACGCGTCGCAATCCCTGGAGCTCGCCTTCATCATCGCCGAGAGACTGAGGCGGAGGAGGATGCGGTCCGGGGTCAACAGCAACCTGCCATTGCCCCCATTGGCTTTCTAAACTGCTGAAACGGGGGAAGGGAAAAGAAACTGGGAGGAGGGGGTAGAATAGTTTCAACTCGCCGGCGGTGATATCTGCATGTGTTCTGTCAAATGTTTGTATGGTGGTTGTTGAGTGTTCTTGGCACTATAGGCAGTTGTCGAGGATATGGTAGCATATATACTCGCCGTGTTGTAATAAGTTTTTTGATGGATGTGTTCTGATGAATTTTTAAGGGGGCCTCAGCTCTGTGCTGTTTGGCCTTGGGGACAGGAGAAAATAAAGCTAGATGGTTTGCTTGGTTACTTTTGTACTCGTAGATACGATCGATGCCTCTCTATCTGCTTCTCTTTTTTTTTTCTCTGCGATTGGAAGTTTGGAACGTGCCAGGCTGCGACATGCGTTTCCCCCTTGTCCCCCTTTCTTGGCCAAGCGAGATGGGCAAAATGCAGTACGCCAACGCTAGTACTGAAGGGCTTGTTCGTATTTTGTAATTTCGGAAATTTCCACCAAAAAGGATTTGATAAGGTTACCTTTGAAACATATGATTGTGAATACGAGATAGAGATAAACGTAGAGCTGAAATGTCATATGCTTTGCATTCCTATTGGATTTTAAAACGTGTAGAAGTTTTAGAACCAGCCATATTTTCTTAGTTGGCGTGTACACGCAAAAGCTTCTATATATGTATAACATATGTTCCCTTATATGATTATTTCCCATAATAAACAAATCCTTTCGAATTCAAATGTTTTTTTTCTGCGTGAACCAAACTAGTTTAGCACTACTGAATTTATATAATACCAAAATATAACAAAATTTGAAAATTATTAAATTTTGATAGGATATAAAGTGTGAAAAGAAATTTGATCACGCGCCCCGCGTCGGAGTGCACCCGGAATTGGTGCCCGCCTGCAAAAGTCGTGGGCCAGTCGAATTGGGCTGTTAGGCTTGTAACACATGGGCTTTATGGCCCAAGACTGACACAATCGGAACGGATTGAGACCGGACCAACCCAATACCGAAGAAATCGAATTCGAACGGCAAGAAGAAATTCCTCGACAACGACGGTACAAATTTTGGTAGAAATTAAACTTGTCAGGTCATAACAGTTAAGAGTTTGGTCTGTCTGTTGCTCTCCTGAAATTAAAATTTCATTTTACAAAAAAAATAAGGTTGAATTTACACCGCCTGGACTATAGGCAGCAGCAAACGACTTCGAGTTGAGTTTACACCGATGCCTGCAACTGCAACCCAGCAACTCAAATGAAGCAGAGTAAAAAACCTCTAGCATGCTACCAAGTACCAATCCAGCAATTGCGTCCAAACATCAACACAGCAACAGAATAACAAGGCCACCTTCAAAACATAAACCAACACACTAACATGGTAATTCTCCGGTACTCAAAAAAGAATTCCAAACAAGGCAGCATGTTCATGCAAAATTGCACCAATTACTCGAGAAATCTGAAAGTAGCTGGGGTGGATTGATCGAACATAGTGCAAGAGGTTCTTGGGCTATTATAACTCAGGAATGAACGATTTTAAAACATCTCAAGCTCTAAACCAACTTAGGCGGTGGTAGCAGCAGCCTTGGCAGCAGAAGAAAGCTTGGACCTCCTCTTTGCCAAGCTCTCGCTCCGGCGTTCCCTCTGCTCCTTGAGCCTCTGGGCAAGAAGCTTCTGGTACTCAGCAGCCTCCGACTTCTTCTTGGCGATCCTCTTCTTCTTGTCAGCGATTCTGGCACGCTTCCTCTGGAGGGTGAGGGGAGTCACAAGACGCTGGATCTTAGGAGCCTTGCTCACCTTCTTGCCTGCAACACAACAACACCATTAGGTAGGTAAGCAGAAAGCTACCTGGAAGATATATTTTGACTTGAAAACTGACAAACATGCAGACAATATAATATGGTGAATTTATCCATAAGAAAATTAAAACAGTACTAAGATCAATGCAGATCAGGAGCAGGACATACTAGAAATGAGGTAGATTATTAAACATTGCAGGAAAGCTCACCATTCTTGGTAGTGAATGTCCTGCGGTAGGTGTTGACATATTTGCGGACATCATCATCCTTGGAAAGGTTGAAGAGCTTCCTGATCTTGGAGGCCCTCTTGGGTCCCCTCATCCTGGGCTTCTCAGTGTCAGTAAGGCCAGGCAGGTCATTCTCACCCTTCTTGACAATCACCAAGTTAATAACAGATAGGTCCTGGCTGACGATGCAACCACGGACAGACTTCCTCCTGCGCTCACCATCACGCCTGCCATACCCACGGAAGCAAGGTGTGCCTGCCATACAAGTAACATAATATGGTCAGAGCAAGGGCATGAATATCCGAAAGTCAATAATAGAAATAGAGCCTTTTTACCCCTGTGAAGAAGAAGGCGGACACGTCCAGCAGTGAGCACTCCCTGCTTCATAGGGAAACCCTGCTTGTCACAACCCCCCATGATCTTGAAGACATAGCCCTTGAATTCCTGAGAAAAAGGAGAGAGATATGTTAACATCTTAAGACTAGGTAACAGTAATTAGGAAACATCAGAGGCCTCACGATATTACCTCGCCCAGAGCATCGCCACTGACCTCCTGAGAGATCCTCTTGTCAAAAAATGCACGCCTGCAGTACATACAAAGGCATCAGATATCCAATTTTACAGAACAAACTCAAACTAATGTTCAGTCATCAGCTAACAAGGTAGACATTGAAAGGCACCCACATTGTTACAGGTCATGAAAACTAACTCCCTGCCGCATTTTAGTTGCGGAAGTTGACTAAAAACATATCACAGAAATCAGTTTAATTGTGCCCCCAACATGCACTGAAGTAAGATACAAAAACAAGTCCAACTAGAAATCATACGGCTTTGTAAAGAATGGATCTTTGTATTTCTCTATACTCATGCAAAGGATTGCAAGTACTGATGAAACTATCCAATCACCACAATTTAATCAATAAGAATACCGAAACATGTTAACTTAAAATGCTATCTAGATTTGCATGTCCATGCTCTAAGTGAAAAGTGGCACAATATATACGTTAGTTACTCTTGCAACCTGTAAGTCAAATATTATAGTATAACTCCATGTCCTCACAAATATAAGCAAAGAGGTCCACATAATGATAAAATGTCAAACAACCTCACAATCTTAAGCCATGTACACCTGATTCACACAGGAACGATCACCATTCCACAGTTGGTCTGTGCAGAGGCACGCAATCCAATGAATCCAGTCTACTACAAACATTAGCAGTAGAACAGCCACAAATGGCGTCCAAATCCCCAAAGGGGAGACATGTTAGACCTACGTACATAAGCACAGAGCCCAATCACAAAAAATGGTATCCGTCTACTACAAACATTAAACGGCATCCAAATCCCCCAAGGCTAAGAAAAATTAGACCTAAGTACATCAACACAAGTCCAACCACAAAAAGAGAAATGCGATTTGTTATGTAAATCAACGGACCACATCAACACAAGGGTTCGCGCTGATTCGGCTTGCCACTACCAACACCACTCTCTCTAATATTGGGGAAACGAAACAAACGGGGGAGCGGCGGCGAGAATACTCACAGCTTCTGGTCGTCATCGATCTCGAGCTTCTTCTGGCACCCGGTGGTCGGGTTCGCGATGTTGAACTGAAAACGAAGGCGGAAACCACACGAATCAGAAGCCACCCACGAAAAAAAAATCTAACCCTACCATAAAATCCCTAGCTCATCTGGGGGATCCAGCAACGGCGACGAGGAGCGTCTTACCTTCATGGTTGCGAAGCGGCGCGAGCTCGCGGGCGGCGAGCGGCGAGTGCGCGGGGGAGCGGCGGCGGCGGCGGCGCGAGGGCTAGGGTTTTTGAGCGAGAGAGCGGCGTGAGTTGATGGGTGGAGTTTATATAGGGTTAGAGGAGAGAAGGGGTTGGGGTCTGGGCCGCGGGTGCGAGGCTCGATCTGAGCCGTCCGTTGATCGCCTTCACCGTTGGATTGGACTTACTGGGCCGGAGGGAAAAAATGGGCTGGCTTTTCTCACTTGGAATGGGCCTATCTCTTGGTTTCAGTCTCGTTTGGGCCCACACTTGAGGCATGGTTTGAATGGGCCTTAATGTGCTCATCCATGTGTGAAGGCCTATGATGAAAATGAGGCCTGGGTGATCTGGAAATTGTGGGCTCACAATGAAGGCCTCATAAGGATAATTTTCTGCGTACACACTGAAAATCCATTTTAGTATATTTCTTTAACTTTTTTTACGGAATTTCTAAAAAGCTATCGCATTTTTTTAGTCAAAAACATTCACATGCAACTTAGTTGTAGTGTACAATGTAACTAATATCTATTATAACTTGGGTAAAAAGTTGTATATATTTTTTAATACTTATGCATAAGTTTTATAATTATAATAGTTATGGTATAGTTGTGATGTAATTATATTACAATTTCATTTAAAAGTTTTTCTTTTTTAAGGAAAAAAATAAGATTGTGTTTCTGTTCACCAAGAAGATCCATCTTTTAGGCTACCAATATTTTCATCTTCTCACAACAGTTTGCATCTCCTTGTATGATAACTTTTCGGGGGAAAGAGTTCAGTACAATGAACAAAATGAATAACTTTGTTATCAACTGCAACGCATATAGAGATTACTAAATTGGCCCTAAAGCTAGGATAACAAAACATGAGAAATTGAGAATGCATTGTGAGACTGATGAAACTGCACATAGCTCAAAGGGAAGCAGGCAGGACGCAAAGAATTCAGCTAAGAACACCAACATATAAAAGAGTTCAGATTATCCACAGCACCTCGTTTACAAACACTGACACAACAACAGAATGGAGCTCTCAGAAATGAACAGCAGCACAACAAAAGGAGCAGCACACTCCAAGAAGAGAAAGCAAGTTCACGGCCTCGTCACAATGCGCACACGAAGTCGCCGCTGTCCTCGACGTCGATGTCGTCGGTGTCAACGTCGTCGAGCTCCATGCTCCCTAGGCCCGGGATCTGCCCGGAGAATTTGGAGCCATCACCCGGCTTCCGCGCCTCCTGTATGATGGCCATGATCTCCTCCAGGCCCTGTGACGGGGTGTTGATGTCGTTCATCTGGACGCTCATCTGGTACTCGTCAGTCATCTCGATCGGCAGGTTCTTGAGGAACCATGGGTGGTTCTTGATCTCAGGAATGGTAATTCGCTGCAAGAAATGACTGGTGAGGACAGAGCAAAATGTAATGTTTTGTTCTAGAGGAACAATTGGTTTGAGAGACGAATTACTTGCTCTGGGTTTGCCACGAAAATCCGGGACAGAAGATGTCTGCATTCCATCGAAACTCGAACATAATCAGGAACCATGTATTGTACGCTTAGTATCCGCTGCAAGGATCTTATAACTTTTATTCCCACACATCAAGATGCAGCATGAGCTGAGGTCAACAAGATGGAATGAGGGATCTCATAGGTATATATGGTTGTTGGGTAACTCACAGTAATTGTCTTGCGGAAGTTTCTTGGTTCGTCAGGGTCCTCAAAGGGGTACGCACCAACAAGCATCACATATAGAGTTACTCCACATGACCAAACGTCAGCAACCTAAATTGTATATGGTGAGATTCGGAACTTTGATAGTAGGAGTATGCCCATTAAAAATGAGAAATAGCAAATCAGAAACTACCTTTCCATCATATTCTTTTCTAGCAAGGACCTCAGGAGCGATATAAGCTGGAGTACCGACAGTAGATTTCGGTTGAGAGTGCAACAAAGAGGACTGCAAAGAAAATTCGAGAGTAAGTATAAGAGTTCAGTTGCCAAGCCAGCGATTTTTAAAGGCCATAATCTTCCCTGACTACCTTTGAGTAACCAAAATCACATATCTTGAGCCGAGGTGCTATGCTCCCATCCAAGAGAGTATTTTCTAGTTTCAAATCTCTATGACATATTTGCTGACACAATAAGGCAATATATCATTATGTAAGATATAGAGCATTTGAGTTGCTAACAACAATTTGATTTCAGATTATTGTGTACCATGGAATGACAGTAGCTAACTCCTGAAATCAACTGCTGGAAGAAGAACCTTGCCTGTCGATAGGTTGAATAAACCATCAACAAAATTGAATCATCTTATAATCTTTAAGTATCATGACTTGTAAATATTCTCTACCTCATCCTCGCTAAACCTCCCAGCACTGCAAATCCTTTCGAATAGCTCACCTCCAGCAGCATATTCCATAACTATGGCCAAATGTGTGGGAGTTAGCACAACCTGAAAAACTAAGTGTTCTCTTTGAGTATATAATCTTATGACAACAGCTTTAAATCTTAGAAAATATGACAGCCATTTCTAATGCTCAGAGGTATTAACAAGATACCTGCAATTATCCACCTAACTCCTTAAAGCTAGTCTCTACTAAATATATGTTTGACAATATGAAAAGCAACAATGAATGTAAACTACCATCAAATAGTTGAATAATGCAACTTTCAGATAATTTGGCTTCTGTTAAATGCAAACAAGGCTTAACACGGTCAAGATTTGAACAAGAGGCTATAATATCCTGCTGGGTCACTTTCATTTCCAGTACCAGTAGTCATTTAATGAATGATTAGGAGCAATTATGAGCTTTTTCACAGAAGTCATGGCCTCATGATGCCCTCAAGTCTCAGCCACTAAAGTACTTACCCAAGCTCAAGGGCATGGCACTAGGACAAGCTATATTAGCAACTGAGTGTTGATAAACATGCAAGTATCCAACAGAATTAATCCTAAACGGTTTAAAGAAGTGGCATTCTAGTCTTGTGTAGGGAAAGAAGAAGAGAAAAGGAAACACCCATAATGTGCTTAGATATAGAATCTACACAAAAAGTCTACCAAATAAGTTCAGCGCCCACATATAGCATATTCTCTTAAGTAAACAAAATAGTGCTCCTAAAGCTCTGAGGGCAGTTATACTAGAAGTTTAGACCATAAAGGTATGAGTCACAGTCAATACAAGAAGAGTCCTTTGAACTCTGCAACTAGGATAAACTTTTTTCTTTACATATTCCATTTGTCCTATTAGAATTGATGGATAGATCACAGATATCGCTTTCCTACTGACCAAAATAGTTCAGACTTCACAGTCGAGCATTACAGAAGACCATTTTCATCTTGGTAATCTTTCAAGTATGAAAATTTATTTATGCAATTTTACAATAATCTTTTGGAAGATTGAAAATTGTACCAGAATATTGCCAATCTTTTTCCAGTGAAAATATGAAATGCTTGTTTTCTTAACAGGTTTTAGAACCTAAGGAGAAATTATGAATATGGGCATCTTTTGGCTAACTTTAAATGCATTCAGCAACAAAAATATAGAAAATTTAGCGTACTAAAAACAAGGTATGCAGAAACGAATTTCAAAGTTTTTATCATTCATGCGACTTACCTCCTTGAATCTAACAATGTTCGGATGCCTCAGTGACCTGTGGTTCATAATCTCCCTTTGGACATTCTCGTCGATCTATGAAAGAAAAACAAAAAAAAAGTGAGCTGATTCAAATCAAAGACAATCAGACACCATATAAGAAAACTCTGTAGAACCCAAAAGGTTGAAGAAACCTAGTTTGAAAAGAACGGTGAAATGTTAACAATGAAGACACTAAAGAGGCGAGAGGTGGGAACAGAAAATGGTTAGGTCCAAAATAATACGCTGGGAAAATTGAGGTGTTCTAGAACACAAGAGTAGTAACATAACATAAACCCAGATCGATGAACCCAAGTCCTAACATAATAACATAATGGTGGCACTGATTAACGATGTTAGTTGTGTCCATACTAAGTAGAAATCGAATTAAAGTACCTCATTTAACTACTACTACGCCTTAAACGAATCAACAAGAAATGGAGCGTTCAATGAACTTTAACAGGACCCAAAAGGTGACCTTGTAAATTGGGCAGAGCAAAGCATTCACATGGCCACAACATGTGTTTTATTGAATTGGCCCATAACCCAGATGTCAAATGAGGGACAGAAGCTTTAGCAGATCAAAGTTTACTTATAAACATCTAACAATAGAGCCAGATCAAGAGCACCCTGGTGCAAATTTCAGTTCTTTGTTGTAATCGGAAACAGCGATAAGATGAGAGTCACCCGCATTGAACAGTCTAGTGTGATATAAGGCCAAGAAATCACATATTAAGGAGTGAATTAAGGAGGTTCTCAAAAATATATAGAAAAAAAGTCCGATTTTTTATGGAGTATTGCAGATCAAAGGAACGGTAGCACAATGGATGGTCCAAGCGATCGATCAGACTGTATGGGGGCAGAACCAGTCAACCAGATACACAATATCAAGTAGCAATTAGTCAAATCAATAAAATCAACAGCAACAATTTTAAGGAAATTTCCTCCAAAATATTAGGATAAACCCTTTCCGTGCACAAGCACCCTAAACTAAAAATCCAAAAATTTCCACAAATCAAGAATCTGATCAGAACCCGCCTGCAAGAACTGGGTTTATGCAAGCAAACAAGATACTCACACAGCAACAGAGATAAAGGGGGGGAGAGGGTAAACCAACGCGATCTCTGCCTCACCTTCTGCCCCCTCTCGATGAACTTGACGGCAAACAGCTCCTTGGTCCGCACATCCCGGACAAGCTTGGCCACGCCGAAGTTCCCCGACCCTATGTCCTTGATCACCTCGTACCTCTCCATCCCCACCTCCCACGACAACTCCCCCGCACGCACAAGCGATTCTTGAGACCGCCCAAACCGCTCGGCCTCAGCACACCGCCCTGAAAGCCCAAAGACAAGGGCAGAGCAAGAAGCAGAGCAGCTGCTGCTAATCCAGCAGAGCAAAGAAGCCAAGAATTGGAGAGACCAGCGAGTGGACTGCGAGAGAAGAGGAGGAAGGCGTGGAGTGGTGCGGTGTGGAAGGGGAGGAGGAGGGGAGAGGAGAGGGGGGCTTTTGATGATGGGGGCGGAGGCGAAGGAGGTGGAGTAGTCGAGGGAAGTGGGGAGGAGGGAGAGAGAGAGAGAGACGTAGGCGTACCAACCGTCGTGGTGGACTGGTGGGCTCGCTCTCACTCTGAAGTGGTCGCCTCGCTGGTAAATTTGGCCATAAAAACCTTACTTAGAAAAATAAATTTAGATGCATTGCATATTCAGACTTATAATATTGATTTTTTAAAGATAGAGAGAGTAAGAATGCACTTACATGCTATTACTGCTCCCCATATACTACTCCGTCTAAAAAAAGATAAATCAGAACACGTATATATTAAGATTTATAGTGAGAATTGGTTTTCTTTTTTTTAATATAGGGGGTAGATATCTCTAATCATGAAGTAATCACTTAGTGCTACTTGTACTTACACCAATGAAAATTATCATCAATCCAAACAGCTATACCAGATCCTACTCCTACCAAGTTACCAAAACAATTGATTACTTATGTGCTAGTAGTCAACTATAATCGGCCCCGACAAAATTCAAATACAATTCTGTTACTCTATTTAAGTGTACTGAACAAGTATTGCTATCATGACAGTGGTTACGTTTGGCTAGACTAGCTACCACAACGGTTGTGGCTACAACTGTTTTGACTGGTTTGAACTGTCGCTGCGGCTAAGGCAGCAAGTGCCTTCGAATAGGGCCAGCATATGAATCACCAATATTATAAGCTAGGTACGTCAATACTCTCTTAATCCCAAAAAAGAAAAGTTTAACCTAGAATAAGATTTTTAAGTTTTTTTTATAGAGGGAGTATGTTATATTAATAGACACATTTGTCTCTTCAAAAAATCATATAACTTTCATTTCAAGTTAAATTCTACTCCCTCTGTCAAAAAATACCTAATTCTAGATCTGAACCTGGACACACGTGTTCAAATCTAGGATTGAGTTTTTTTTTTACGGAGGGAGTAGAGAGATAGAGACGAACATTAGCATTACCAAGTGGCTTGGTTCTAGTTTTGCCTTGTTTCTTATGTCTCTCATACTACTAGATCCCAATACATTTTACAAGTTGGTAAAAAACCGTGATATATTGGCGATTTCTAAAATTCCTCGTGATCCATTTCTTTAGTTATTTTTAATGCTTTTTCTTTTGCAAAATGTCTTGTCTATAATTCCTTAGTATTTCAGAACTGCCGAAGCATTTGACCTAATCACCCAACACCACTGCAGTATTTTCTCCTAGGCTGTTCCCTTCAAACTTCTAAAAATTCCGTCACATCAAATGTTTGGACATATGCATGAAGCATTAAATGTGAACGAAAAAAAACCAATTACACAGTTTACATGTAAATTGCGGGACAAATCTTTTGAGCCTAATTACGTCATGATTTGACAATGTGGTACTACAGTAAACATTTGCTAATGATGTATTAATTAAGCTTGATAGATTTATCTCGCATTTTATAGGCGAAATATGTAATTTGTTTGTTATTAGTCTACGGTTAATACTTCAAATGTGTATTCGTATACTTCAAAATTTTTACAACTAAACACAACTAAACACGGCACTAGTCTCTCGACCAATGGGAAATGATCAAACGGGCACTGAACTGCAGAAAACAACTTCACACGCGCGCGTAAATCAACAGCCGACATCTCGTCCTATTCCGCGAACATACGCCAGTAGAATCTGCCATTTCCGTCATCGAGTTCATGATCCGTCAAAGATATGCCAATCCATCGAGCCCTTCAGCATTTCAAAGATGCCAAAGTTGTCTGCAAGAAAAACAGACGACCAGAAGAATGGATTTAACTGAACAAAAAGTGGTTGATGTTGCTGTCGATCTGAACAAAAATCGGTCGCATCGGAGGGCACCTTTCTCTCTATGCCAGCTTCTCTCACTTGCATGCAGCTTTGAAGCCATGAAAATCTTCTGGTATCTTTCACCAAACCTCCTCTTAAGAAAATCACATTTTATATATCTTCTGGATTAAAATGGTGGATTTGGTATGTCCACGTGGCGCTACCATGACCAAAAGAGGCAAGGTGGAACTGAAAACCGAACAGAAAATTGAGGAAAAGATTCTCCAGCTCTGCTTGAACGACATGGTGGTAAGTGGTAACACAACGACTTTTGTCAGATGTAGCAATGACCAGAGTATTGCAGATTGTTTATACTCCACGTAACACAGGAATGATTCTCTCCTCTGATATGACATTGTTGCCTTCTATCTGTACTGTTCCTAACTTTGATCGAGTTGGTTTATACTTGAAAAAACTACACAAAGAAACCATCAAAGCTGCTCAAAATGTAGAACAAATTCAAACAGTAAATTATTAAGCTGAAGAAATCTGTTAAAGCAAGTTCAATACTAGTATAATACTATAGCCAAATACTAGCTCCAAATGCAACCGAACATTCCCAATGCAATCACCGGAAGATCTTCTTTATGGGCACCTAACTGCAGTACCGAACTAGTCTATCATACATCATTTTCTGCTCCTGCTTCTGAAAGCCCACTCCTTTTCTCAACATGTGATTGCGAAGCTTTCTTTGATCCCAGGATCTTACTTTATATCCAGGAAAAATACGGTAGGTGCAATAGCTAAAGGGTCTTATTGATTGACGTATAACAAATTAATCGACGTCAAAGTTTAAATTTTAAAACTTAATTTTAAGTGGATTTTAGGTATCATTAATGCATTTATTTTAAAAATTATAAAAATTTATGGATGTGTATATATAAAAGTTTTACTCGTAAAATATTTTTCACTAGTAAGCTATTACAACTTATAATCCACTCATAATCTACTCTTGATCGATGAACCGATGTTGCTGTCACTCTAACCGCATGCTAAGAGCAAGTTTAATAGTATAGCCCACTACTAACTCTAATTCATCTATAGCTAATCTAATAGCTAATTTATACAATAATTGTTTACTATACTATTAGTATATAGTCCTATCTATTATACACACATTGCATCTTAGAGTCCGTGCTACAACCGGCTGCAGATTTATAGCCCGCTGCTCTTTTTTCTTATCTTTTTATCTCATTAAAATATGTTTATAGCTGGTTAATAGTCTGCTATTGTACCTGCTCTAATGCTAACCAAACAGAATGATGAACTTTGGGATGGAACATTCCATTAAGAGCAAGTTTAGTAGTAAAGCTAACTGCGGACTCCAAATCATCTATAGTCAATTTAATAGTCAATTCATACAGTAGTTACATATAAACATATACTACATAATTAATATCTGGTCTCATCTGTCATATACATATGCATCTTAAAGTCCGTGCTACAGCTGGCTATAAATCTGTAGCCTGCTGTCCATCTCTTTTCTTTTTTATTTTCTCGAAATGTGTTTATAATTGGCTTATAATCTGCTATTGTACCTGCTCTAAAAATTCAGCTAGGAACCGAAACTTCTGGATTAAAATTTGTTAAGGTTTTCCTCTTTGTTGCGTTGCCCAGTAGATGGGGTAGTCGCATCTAGAACAGAATGGTTCGTGGCATCACCCAGCCATGGCTTATTATTAGGATACTCTAACTGTCAGGCACCAAACCATCGAATATACAATTAGCAGATGTCTTGAAGTGGAAAGCAAATGTCAGTAAAATAATGTGATACTGATAGTTTTTTAATCTCTCTGGTGCAAAGCGTTTCTTGCTCTGGTTTGCTGCTTGCACGGAAGCAACCATTTCTTCGTGGGCTAATGACATGACTGAAAATAAATACGAGTATTAGTTAGTTTAGTTGCTTAGCCAGCCAGGGTAGTGCTAAATTATTATCATTATCTTGAGCAAACCCTTTTTTCTGACCGATTCTTCATAGCTAACGCTAACGATACTGTATTTGTAGCCACGAACACCTGAACTGACAGTTTTTTTTTTAATTTCAGGAATGTACGGTTATTTATTTTTGTTTTTCTTTAAAAAAAAGATTGGTCACTCTAGAACCGTCTGCCCGTTGATTTTTGGGCTTGAAATATTCCATGCAGGTCTACATTTTCAATGCTGTTATGTACCCCTAATCAATCACGGACATACTGCATATTATGGCCATTCATAATAATGCAGTACCATCCGAGCATCAATGATTTGATTGTAGTACCCAGGTCCTCCTGCCGGAGCATTTTGCAATATTGAGCTCAACCGAACCAGTTTGCTACTACTCGGACCTCAATTTTTTAAAAAATATTAGTGCATTTAATTTTTTTTAATTCATTTGATTATTAGTCTTCACTAAATATATTTAAGTAAATCGATAAACATATTAGATATGTTTAAGGTACTTTCGATAAGAAATTTAGTACTCAGTATTCCTTTTAATTTAGTTTAACTAGCTAATCGAATAATTGTTGGTTAAAATTTGAGAGAAAATTAAACTGCGACATATATTAAAGGGTTTCTTTGGGTTAATTATATCCATAAATTGAGAATTTGTCATATTAGAAAAATGACACTATAATTTGCGATATTAGTTGAGTGCCACTGAAATTTGATAAAATTAGATCTATGATATTGCCGTCACGTTTTCCATCTTCACTTCCATCCTCCCCTCGTTCGGCAGGCATGACGAGCCTCCCACCGCTTTTCTCTGTCGGCGACGACCACCGCGGTCTCATTTATCGGATCTGGTTAAGGAATGAATCGGCGGCCTCGTGGGCATGAAGCCATTGGCGAGTCCAATCTTCCGAGCAGACTCCCCCATCCCGCACGGTGAGCCCAAGATGCTCCTTGTCGATTTCATGGGCATCATCGATGAGGAGGAATTGGATTAGCCGAAAAAGCTCGTCGATGATAGGGAAGGAGATGCAATGGCCTCCTCACCCTCTCGCCGTTGCCCACGCATAGCTATGTCACGCCATTGTCGGCGTCGCCTCTCGCTCTCTCGCCGCATGAGGAGAACCATGGCTCACCACCCATTGTCACCGTCTTTTCTTCTTACCACACACACCCATGCCCACTAGTCATCACCGGTATCGCCTCGACATCTCACCGTCCGTGGACAGTCATGGCTTGCCAT